GGAAACACTAAGACATTTTGTTTTTGAAAGAAACTTCTATTCACCCAAGATGCATTAAACTATTAATGCCTTTACAGTCATTTTTAATCAATGTTGGAAATCACTCTGCTCATAACAGAGTCATGTGCAGCATTCATATCTGTCAGTTTATGAAGAAATTTAGCTGAAGTTTCATATCATGCTTTCTGCAGCACATCCCACAAATCCTTGCCCATTTTACTTTTGTCTTATTCGTCAGATGTGTTCTTTATCTCAGTCTCTGTACCCATCATCCACTTCTCTGTGTACACTCTTACAAATAAAGGTTCTAAAAGTTTAAGAACCATAAAATAACCATTTTTGCTTCCCTAAAGAACCCTTCATACCTCGTTTCCACCAAAAAAGAACTGGTTCGGCACCGCTGCTGGTTCAACTTGCGAACCTTCTCAGAACCTGTTTGTTCTTCCACTGACTAGAGAGCCCAGCGAACGACGCTTTCTCATTCCCGTCGTGTTGTTGGTCACAATAACCCAGGCCCCCGACGTAACCATGACGTGGTAAAAGAACGGTTCTAGTCCAGCAAAGAGTTGGTGCCGTTTTTGGAACCAATTTTCCTGGTCGAGAACCGGTTCTTTGGCTGTCGAAACACAAAGAACTGGTTCGCAAGTAGCAATGTTGTTTTCGTCAACGATGACGATAACGAAATGATTTCGTTGACGCACTTTTTTTTATGACGATAACGCGACGATGACTAGCTAAAAATGGCTCTAAGGTGACTAAAACATGACGAGACGTTTTCGAGTTTTCGTTGACAAGACGAGACGGAACGAAAATGACTAAGTCTGACGTTCGCAATGCATGTCATTTCTGCCTATTTTGCGTGAAATCTGTTTTGAGCTAAAAAAGTATCAGCAATGCTGCCGCTTCCTATCATTGTTTTGGGTACCCATGCCTCGCGCGCACCAGATTCCACACAACAACACACCTGCGGCTGCGGCTAGTCACTCACCACACATCTTCGAAGGACCATGGCGGCGAAGCCAATAAACGGGCTTGGTGGTCGGAAACGACGAGATGATTTATGGACATAGGCTACTTTCAGTTTCAGTATAATCCAGCGGTTCTCAAAGTGTGGGGCGCGCCCCACTGGCGTGACAGGTCTCCTCCAAAACGGGAGGAAATTTTCCGTTTTATGCCTTTTTGTTCATGGCGAGTCCCCATCGTCAAATTCATCTTTGCAGCGACACCGAAAACACCAGTTTATTAATAACCAATTAAATGTCTCCTTGCTATTTTTTTACACATTCATAATCATTACTTTTGCCGGTTCTTTGTGGCAAGCTTTATGCCAGGGGTCTCAAACTCAACTTAACTGGGGGCCGCTGGAGGTAGAGTCTGGGTCAGGCTGGGCCGCATCAAGTATTCCACAAAAAAATAGGATTCAAGTATTCCAAAAAAGGAGCACAACTGATCCAATCTTCTCAATATTTATTATTAACGTTTCTTCTGAACTGTTCCTCTGAATTTGAACATTCCTTTCTGTACATGATTGGCTCTTCATGAGCTGTCCTTCTGACAGTTGAAGTTCATTTTACAAACTTTCTTTGTCTATAACACATATTTGTGATATTTATATTTGCTTATGTCCTTTTTATTTTCTTTATACAACACATTAATGATATTGAATGTTTTTTTTTTTTTGGAAGGCACATTTCCTTTTATTATACTTAGAAAAACAATTATTGCTTTTGAAATACAAATATTTGCAGTCATGTCTGCCCGTCTTATTGAATTCTTTCTACACATGTATAGTGTCTCAAATTACTGACTGCACAAATCAAAGCAAACCTTCTTATCAACCTGTTGGACACATGTTACAAGCTCAAAATGATTATTCTCACATTGGTTTAGAGCAGGGTCTCTCTCCAACACGTCCCTCGCGAGCTACCAGTAGCTCGTGGTCTGATTGGTGGCAGCTCGCCAAGGGGCCGTTCACATATCGCGCTCACATATTTTGCGCGCTCAAGTTCGTTATTTCAAATGTAGGCGCGAGGTAAGCGCGCTCATAATTTAAGTGACGCGCTCATTTTTTCCAGGCGCAGTATGTTTGTACTTCGCGGTTGTCTATGACAACTATTGACAACAAACCCACCGTGTCACGAGACTATCTATGGTAGCCCATAAGGGATAAAAAAATATATATATATATTTTTAAAACGCGGCACACGCAACGACGGGCCGCACTAACATTAAACTTTAATGTCAAGTAGGGGGCCACAAAATATCACCCTGCGGGCCGCAAATGGCCCGCGGGCCGCGAGTTTGAGACCACTGCTTTATGCGCTTGAGTCCCGTATAGCCTATTTAAGTAATTAAATTAATATAAAGGGGCGATTTGTCCACTTATGGCTTAAATGTACAACTGCTAGTCGACTAGAATAAAAACTTTAGTTGGAGGCAGCTCTTATTCCACATATTCTCGAACCAGCAGGCCATTCTGTGTTGAGCGCGCGACCCTGAGCGGAATGAGCGAGCGGAGGGATATTCAGAAATGCGCTCTCCGCTCACATGCTCTGATCGGAACAAAGGAATATTAAAGTAATTAATCATTAGTTTATATCTTATACACTGCCCATACACTACCCATCATTTTAATCCCATATCAATGTTATGTCAATTTTATCTATTTAAAAATATACTGTATATACATCACGTTTTTAAGTAGGCTAAAGGCAGAGAGCTGTGTGCATTCTTCTTCCCTTTGCCACATCATATCTCTGTGAGATGGGCTTTTCAGCTGTTTCAGTTTCACTGAAAACAAAGTAAGATCTCAGCTGAACATTGAGCATGACTTTTGAGAAATTGTGCAATTCAAAACAGGCTCATTGCAGCCACTAATGCAGGGATAAATAGACCTGTCTTGCCAAATGGATTTCTATTCTTTTCTTTTTTTAACAGATTGCAAAGTGGCACTTTTATTTCTTTTCTATTTTTGAACTTGATACCAATTTTGACACAGCCGCATTTTATTTTCTCTATTTTTTAAAGACTTTTTTTTTTTAAATTGACTAAAACTTGATTAAAACCTTTTTGCGTTTCCGGCGACTAAAACTATCAAGTTTTTAAGTGACTAAAATGTGACTAAAACTAAAAGGGCCGCCAAAAACAACACTGGCGAGTAGACACCGGCTCTCAAAATGTTTTGGTGGAAAAGGGGTATGTATCAGTGAGCAGCAGTTCTTAAAAGAACTAGGCTTTATTGTGAAGGTCATTTTAAAAATCTAAAGAACCTTCAGTGGAATGGAAAGATTCCGTGGATGTAAAAGGTTCTAAATGGAACCATTGATGCCGTTTTCAAAGAGTTCTGTTTGCTTTCTTCTTTCAGGACAGTAAAGGCCCTTGCACATTGAATCCGAAATTTTTGCACGTTAAAAAATAAATACAACTCGCGTTATGTCAATCATGCTTACACACTACCTCTGAAACTTTCGTCCGTCATAAAAAAAATCAGATCAGGTTTGATTTTTTCTGTGTTTTTCGCATCCGTTTCAAGCACTTTTGTTTGAATGGTGTTTTGACAATTCAGAGCCACGAATACGAACATTTCGGACTCGGTGTGCAAGGGCCTAGAACAGTGTGTTTGTGTTTTGCCATTTTTAAACCCAAATGACACTGCTGCAGTTGTGATGAAGTTTCTCAAGCACCAGAGCCGCACATCAGAAGCTTTTCTTAGTTCACTGTCATGGCGAAAACTTAAATGCAAATAAAAAGTTCTCAAACACTTACATATAATTAATGCAATCTAAAAGCAGGCATTAATATGAATGCATTTTCCAAACCTTTGAATACTAGTATGCATCGGAGAATCTAATTGCTTTATTTGTTTTGCCAGGAAACTGTGCTCATTGGCTGAAGCCTCGTCAGCTGATCGGGAGCAGTTCTCAGCGCTGGTTCAGATGATCGGCGGCCTGTGATGGAAAATCTTTTCTTTTTGTTTGTTTTGAGCACCTCAGTTCACTATTACATGAGTTATTTTTCACCACATATAAAGCAAGCAAGCATCTCACTACTGAAATGATCTAATAAAGTTTATTTTTAAAAATGTAACACGTTCCTCTGACTAGGAAATTAAACTTTTGATTAATTACTACCAGCTACATAATGGTTATTGAGTACTTCACAATATATTAAGTCTAGATGTCATGGAACATGCATACAATTCAGGCTGTATGAGAACCCACAGTCACCAAATACAGTTGGATGGAGGGGGAAAAGCACAAAAAAAGCTGTACAGATATTCATCAGAGCTTCAAATAAGCAAGAAGCCTCTTAAACTCTCCAGCAATGTCACTCCGGCTCGCAGCGTTCAGGGGGAAATGGCCTTGTGTTTACTTTTTATATCTTTCCTGATGTCATCCAATCAGGATAAAGGGGCGGCGATATTATTTAAATCACTTGGGCCAAATCATTACCAGCATCCTGGTGAAAAACTTTTATATCATTTGGACACTTTCCTTTCAAACTCAAAACATTGCTGGAGAATACTTAGTGTTTCTTTCTCTTTTCTTTTTTTTTTTTTCATCAAATCTCTTTCACAGAAAGAACATACATCCTGCGACATGAGCACAAATACAGCAATCTAAGGTATAAACAACCCCAAAATTAATATACTTAATAAAATAAAAAGACATTCAAGTACATTTAAGATTTTTGCTTGAAAATACAAAACTACATGAGAAAGCATTAAAATCAAACCTCAATAACTCAGTCTTTTAAAAAAACAACAAAACTGAAGTGCTGGGTCATTTTTTTCCCCGTACATATACAAGAGTGCGGTGATGGCTGCTTGGAGAACAGGTGCATCATGGGAAGCATTGTGAGTCTACGCTCTAGGTCCGTTTCTCTCGTGTGTGGCTCAAACTGGGGATCCATGCGCTTCACCGTCCTCGTCATCCCACAAATCCTGAGTCGCCACCTTCCCGAACGCGATCCGAGAGCATCGCAAACAACAGTAGGAGAAACAGGATCGCAGAGTGACTGTGTGTTTGCATTTGTTAAATAGAAATGTTTTCTCTGTCCACGTTTACAGTTTTTTTTTTTAATAAAATTGAATTATTTCTAGCTTGTAATCTCATCTGCACTGGACTGAGCACTCGGAGTCTGTAGGTTCAGTTGTGCTGCAGTGTGTTGGACTCTATAGGAGGAGCCGAGTCGTACAGCGTGTCCGTGTCGTGAGTCGGCTCTCCGGCTAGTGTGCAAGGGTTTGACAACGTCCCTGCACCACAGTCACAGAAAAACCTGCAGAGACAAACACACTCGATCAGTACACAAGATATATAATGTGTAAACAAATATACATATGGTAACACTTCAGTTTAGGGTCCAATTCTCACTATTAACTAGTTGCTTATTAGCATGCATATTACTGGGATATTGGATGTTTATTAGTACTTATAAAGCACATATTATGACTCATTCTGCATGACCATATTCTACATCCCTTAAAGGGATAGTTCACCCCAAAATGAAAACTCTGTCAGTAATGACTCTCCCTCATGTTGTTCAACCCCGTAAGATTTTCGTTCATCTTCGGAACACAAATTAAGATATTTTTGATGAAATCTGAGAGCTGGATCACTCCTCCATAGGCTTCTTAAGGGATCGAAACTGGCCGGCCCAAAAGTTATGAAAGACATCGTTAAAATAGTCCGAGTGACTACAGCGGCTCAACCTTTAGTTTATCAAGCGACGAGAATGCTTTTTGTGCGCAAAAAAACAAACAAAAATAACGACTTTATTCAACTATTCATTTCCTTCTCTGTGGGCCTCGAGTGAGTTCACGTAGTGAAACAGCGCAGCGCTTCTGGGTTGTACGTCACACGTAGGCTCACTATAGCTTGTTTTCATATGACGTCACGCCACAGCGTTGCCATGGCGCGAAATGCAAATGGAGGGCAGGAAGTGATTTGCTGTATTTAGAAAGCTCTATAACAAACTCAAAATGCCTATGTTTTGCGTCGTTTATGGTTCCTTAAATCGATCAAACCACGAGGAGTTTTTATTGTGCACCAAAAGTTGTTGTTCATAAGGGGGGAAAATGCAAGAAATTGACCGAAAAACTCCGGGAAAACGGCTTGCAAACCTACGTCTGCGGTCGGGAGGAGCCGAATGGGAAAATGCCCGTGTGTGCAGTGATCACTTCGTCAAAGGTGAGTTAATACAACTTAAGTGGCTATGTTTGTGTAACGTTTACGAACTTTGTAAAGTCAAAGTATGTCTGTAAGACGAGGTAGTTGCTGATATCTACCGCCTCGATGGCAGAAAAATCTTTCAATTCAGTTGAAAAATCGCTCCTCTTCATAACGTAAGGATCACGTCCAACATATGTTTGATTTTTTGTTTATATCTTTCTCTTGTAATAGCGTGTAAAGTAGTACAGTACGGACTTTCCTCCATCTCGTCCATTGCGCTCTTCACTCCCTGCCCTCCATCTGAATTTCACGCGTCATCATAATCACGTGACTGAAACCCAGCTATTGGCCGACGCTGGTCATGTGTGTGATGCGTGACGTACAACACAGAAGCTTTGCGCAATATCACTACGTGAACTCACTCGAGGCCCACAGAGAAGGAAATGAATAGTTGAATAAAGTCGTTATTTTTGTTTGTTTTTTGCGCACAGAAAGTATTCTCGTCGCTTGATAAACTTAAGGTTGAGCCACTGTAGTCACTCGGACTATTTTAACGATGTCTCTCATAACTTCTGGGCCGGCCAGTTTCGATCCCTTAGAAGCCTATGGAGGAGTGATGCAGCTCTCAGATTTAATCAATAATATCTTAATTTGTGTTCCGAAGATGAACGAAAGTCTTACAGGGTTGGAACAACATGAGGGAGAGTCATTACTGACAGAGTTTTCATTTTTGGGGTGAACTATCCCTTTAAGTGTAAAATATGAACCAAACTTTTTTTTTAATGAAATTTGGTTGCTAACTGACCTTGTTTTTTGGCCTTAGTTAACTTTATAAAATATACAAGTCAATTTGTATTTATAAATATATATGCATGTTTCTTAACACTTGTATAAAATATAATAAAATAAATTATAGGGCCATTGCATTTTTAGCTAGCAACAATTTAATTAAAAAAAATGTTTGAATCACATTTTACAGGAAAAAAAAAACGTATAAAATATATACCTATAATAAAATAATGAGCCATTACATTTTTTTTTAAATTGTCAATTTGCTTGGCACTTCAGCACATGTTCTCTCCAACTGTCACCATAATGCAAAACCTCTAAAACTTTTGGACATAATATTGAATTATAATTTTTTTTAATCTGCATAACTTATTGCCAAAGCAACAAATACTATCATGACGTATACTTCCAAATGCACTTTACAAGACATTTTGTACTTGTATTTAGAAAAATATTTTTTCCCCCGACATTAATGCAATTTACAGTAAAAAAACGTGCTTAAAAATAGACTTTTTATTTTTTTTAATGCAAAATGATATTTTAGCAATAAATGCAAAGCAAGCTCATAGTAAGATTTAGAGGGCATGACTGACCTATCATGTCTAATAAATTCTACGTCGTGCCCTTGATGACACTTCTTGATGCAGTTCACACAGATGGCGTTGCGGTCTGTCGTGTTACAGGTGTGACACCTGCACGGAAGAATAGAGCAGTGAGAAAGCAGCCGCTAAAGTCCCACGCAGAGCTCATATGGATATTCCTGAGGAGCGTTACCTGTAAAAATCGTGCATTGGATAGCTGGTGTAACTGGAAATCTTGTACAGGCACTGACCTCTGCTCACAGCTTTCTCAATGGCATCCTGGTTGTTCATGATTTTGTTGTCTGTAAAGAAGATTAAAGGGGAACACGGTTCACTTCGTGTTCACTGGATCATTAAATAGGCAAATTCAAAATGTGTTCAGTTTACCTTTCATTGTGACGTTGACGCCGGATGCGAGAAACAATCCACCGAAGCGATTGTTGAAAATCTGATTGCCTTCTAATGTTGCCGTTGCGTGATTTGTGATCTCAATACCTGAGACAGATAGAGGTGAACAATTACTTGCATATAATGACTACTTAGTATACATCTTATATCTATGCGATTCCGTAAAATAAAATAAAATTCAGTTCCGAAAAACTTTTCATGAAGGTTTTAACAGCTTATAAAAAGTGTTGTTAAATTGCATTGAGTAATTTCAAGCTAAATCAATCAATATCAATACATGCCCACATAAATCTGCAGAAAAAGACTTAATAAAAGGGCTTGTTTATCCTTGAGCTTCCTGTTCACTTCATAAAGAATGATGTGATTGTGTCATCTCTTTTTTTTTACATTTACAGAATAGTGCCTTATTTTAAAGGCTCTGTAAGATGGTAAAAACACTAATGCATAATCTGAAGAAACATCTTTTTTTTCTTCAAATCAGCATAAATTAAATCACAGTACAATAAATATGTATACTTCCAAATGCATAAAAAAGTACAAAAAAAAGTTTCCCACATTGATACAAATTTGAGGAGAAAAAATGCTTCATTGAAAAAAAATTATATATATATATATATATATATATATATACACATATACACACACACACACACACACACACGCACATCTTAACGGTCCTACCAGAATGGCTTCATGCAAAACAATTTGTTATATTGATATGTACACTACCGTTCAAAAGTTTGGGGTCGGTAGGATTTTAAATAATTTTAAAAGAATTCTCTTCTGCTAACCATGGCTGCGCTTATTTGATTAAAAATACAACAAAAATCAGTTATAGTATTAAATATTATTCCAGTGTAAATCAGCTGTTTTCTGTGTGAATATATAGTAAAGTGTAATTTATTCCTGTGATCAAAGCTGAATTTTCAGCATCACCAGTGTCAGTGTCTTCAGTGTCAAATGATCCTTCACAAATCAGTATAATATGAGGATTTGATGCTCAAGAAACATTTATTATTATTATCAATGTTGAAACAGTTGTTGGTCTGTCAGTTGTAGGGATGGGACGATACACTTAAACTCACGATACGATGCACCTCGATATGCCAGGGTCACGATACGATACGTCACGATACGATATCAAAAAAGAAAAAAATATTACTGTATAACAAGTTATTCATTTGCTTTGGCCGCCAAAGCAAATGTGTGTCCCGCCAAAGCCTTTTTTGATCGGCGAGTGATGTAGAATGAATTGTATGGAAGTAAAATAATCCCAAATGTGTTTGAAACAAAAAGCCTGTTGAATTGTACTACTTGAAAAAAATATGCATTGCATAAACCCTGCTTGTATTTTAATGCATTGTATTTTTAGGGCTTGTATTTTTATAGGCTGAAATTTAGCATGGTTGAATATTTAAGCTGTGAATATTTCAAATCAAAACATTTCAAACACATTTTCATTAGTAAAATTTCAATAATCCATATTCACCTTTCATATTTCATATCCCAAATATTCAAACTGATTAAAAATACAACCTATAATATTCAACAGGCGGTTTTCGGTCCATTTTATTTCGCTTTGCAAATTCGCTTCCACAAATTCAGTGGTTCAAATTCGACAGTAAATTCAACATTGACATCCAGGAGCTGCAGGAAAAGTAGTAGATTACCGAGCATAATCTCCATCTGCTGTTAGTCGACCACACCAGGAGGGGGTGTAAGCGCGTGTTGTTGACGAAGACCAAAGCAACAGTTAGTGCAAGCCATTCATTCATAAAAACTCAGCATGCATTATGTTTTTTGTGACGATTATCTGGGTCAGTATATATGCGGAAAAGATGATAAAGGCACAAAAGCTGTTTTTATGTTTCATTCATTGTTACTTTCCCTGTGTAGCCTTATGTTATCAGCCTTTTCTACAGTGAACGGGATTATAATCTGTTTCCCTCAATACATCATCATACTCAAAGATTCCCCGAATTCCGTCAGGACAAAGCGCTTAACGTAGCTTAATGGACTACAGTGATATAAAAGACCAAACTCGCACCTTATTTGGAAAGTATGTATTGTACATGTACTGCATTAGATTAAACTGGGAAGTAGCACTTTCATATTGTTGTTCTATATTGTTAGTTTAACTAGTCGCTTTGGATAAAAGTGCCAGCTAAAAGACTAAATGTAAAATTGGGTTGACATTCGCACATTTAGGGACCGTCTCTAAAGTAACAAGTCCTATAGGCCTAAACGTTTCTAACTTCAATAGCAAACTTCAATCTATTTGAATAAATTGCGCATTATGCCTGAGCCTGACACCTACATGAACACTTTACAGTTGGTTTTATGACTGTAAGTCGTTCTTTTCAAATGGTATTTAAGTTAGAAACGTGTATACCAATTTCGTATGTAACTTTAGAGACGGTCCCTAAATGTGCGAATGTCCAATGTCAAACCACATTTATGCCAGTATATCACTGGGAAACGCTCAGCATTAAACTTTGCGCGTCAAATTCATATTCTGAGTCCATCTGCTAGCCTGCGAGTTTGGTCTTTTATGTCCATTAAGCTACGTTAAGCGTTTTATATGTCCAGCAGGGGAATCCTGACATATTGAGGGAAACCAAACCCTAGTACTGCATGCAGCACATCGCTGCAATATAAGGTTAAGGCAACTAAACAACCAAGAGAAATATGTCAAATGTAACACTGGATCTGTACATCCGCATCGGGGGAATAACATTATCGTTCATGGTAGAGAAAGATGCATGTAGGCTACACAGGAAAAGTAATCGTGAACACACTGAATTTCACATAAAACAGACGTCATAATAATCACAAATACACTTACATTTTTGTAAATAAGTTTTTATGAATGAATGGCTTGCGCTAACTGTTGCTCTGGTCAACACCCCCTGCTGGTGAGGTCGACTAACAGCAGATGGAGATTATGCTCGGTAATCTACTACTTTTCCTGCAGCTCCTGGATGTCAATGTTGAATTTACTGTCGAATTTGAACCACTGAATTTGTGGAAGCGAATTTGCAAAGCGAAATAAAATGGACCGAAAACCGCCTGTTGAATATTATAGGTTGTATTTTTAATCAGTTTGAATATTTGGGATATGAAATATGAAAGGTGAAAATGGATTATTGAAATTTTACTAATGAAAATGTGTTTGAAATGATTTGATTTGAAATATTCACAGCTTAAATATTCAACCATGCTAAATTTCAGCCTATAAAAATGCAAGCCCTAAAAATACAATGCATTAAAATACAAGCAGGGTTAATGCAATGCATATTTTTTTCAAGTAGTACAATTCAACAGGCTTTTTGTTTCAAACACATTTGGGATTATTTTACTTCCATAGAATTGACTGCTGCGCTTGACAGGGCGCATAACGAGCAGAGAGAGAGAGAGAGAGAGAGAGAGCCCCGGCCGCGCGCGCGCACTCTCACGTCTTCAAACAAAACGAGCGCTGTCTTGCTCTCTCTCCCTCGCGCATATTAATCAAAATCAATTGACACGATAGTAAAAGGTCGGAAGACCGCAGTTTCACGTGGAGCATTTGGAGATTATTAGAGATTAGAGACTCTAGGCTTACTTAGACTCAATGAACAACATCTCAACACTAAATTATAAAAGCCGGTCTCATATAGAGGGAATGCATTGATGTCACGTGTCCCACGTGAACACGCCCCCTCAGCTGGACTGAGTGGCAAAAGAGCTGCTGCGTGACTGGAGTTAATAGGGGAAACTGCGGAAACGAGAGTAAAACAAACGATGTTTGGACTCGATATAAGTGTTCCTTACAATTTAGGCCTACCAAAGATCCAGTGATCCATATTGACACGCAGCCATTGTGTTTCCTGACATTTGTGTGCCTGATTTCGACGCCGGGGAAATACGTGAAGCAAATTTGCCTGTGAACGCTTTATATAAATACAATATAGGTAGGTCTAAATCCAGGTGATCACTCATATCAATGTTATATATAGGCTATAATCATATCGTCCAGCCCTAAAACTTGTAGCCTATAGTTTTTTTTTGTCATGACAACGCATGTGGTCATGTAAACACGGGAAACCCGTTTTCTTTTACACTGGTAGTTTTTTGCCTCTTACTCGGATTTCGCATTATGTAAACGCATTAACCTGCTTTCTGCTTTTTTTTTCTCATCTCGTGCAGCAGAAGTAGAAGTGGTTCAGTCAAAACGCTGCATCTGTAACTGCATGACATGAGAGAATATACGAGCTGTAAGTTTCCCGCTGACATGTTGCAAGCTTTATTTAACATCAACCGACAAAACAAATGAAGTCAGATACGCAAATGATTGTTTTGTCGTCACACGGTCATGGCCTGATTTATTAATAAAGTCATGTAAACACGGTTTACTTGTGTTGTCATGGTTACTGGTTTGGATGTAAACGGGAAACTGGTTATTTCAATAAGCTGATATATGTGAGTTATCATCTTACTGGTGTGCATGTAAACGTGCTCAATGATAACTGCAAATCCACTTTTCTCTGGAGTCAAGTTGATTCTATGAATTGCATCGATCCATTTGCTACTCTGTTCTGTAGCTTTTGGCAGTCTATAAAAATATACCTCAGATTTCTTGTGAAATGTAGTTGTACAGTCAATCGCAAAGCTCTTTCCCATTTTAGATGTGTTTTTTGTGTTTTTCACGGCATTCACGCTGAAAACCAATGCTGCCGCTCAGTCTTTTTGCCACACGAGTGGGCGTGACCGCAATCACTCCAGCTGACGGTGACGTCATACGCATTCCCTCTATAGACGCCTGTCTCAAATACAAGCCGGTGCAGTTCGATGATTTGGGAAAATAAAAGCCCGGGCTATTATTTGAAGTTTTACGGTATATATATATATACATTTGACTCCATGGTCGGCTGTTTGGGGGCAAGGCAGTTGGTACTGATGCTAATATTTGTTAGCTCGCTGTAGACTGCAGTGTTGTTGTTGCAACATGCGCTGCCTTGACGTGATGACGTACCGCACCGTTCCCCGGATATAATTTTTTTTTTTTTCATTTAGTTTTGCACTGCTTGATCAGCAGATGGTGCTGCCAGCCTGCCACCATAGACTGTATGTCTGCCCCATATACTTACACACACACATATAATACACTAAATTATTTATATACTACGCAAGTCATGCAGCAGTGCCATCTATCTTTATTTCGCGATCCATTTTTTTTCGACCTCGATGCGTTTCGTCACGTTTTGTATCGCGATATTTTGTCAAACGATATTTCGTCCCATCCCTAGTCAGTTGTACAGTTTTTTTTTTTTTTTTTAGGATTCTTTGATGAATAGGAAGTTCAAAACACTTTTGTAACATTATAAATGTCTTTACTGTCACTTTCGATCAAATTAATTATTCCTTGATAAATAAAAGTATTGATTTCTTTCCTCCAAAAAATAAAAATAAAATTCTCACTGACCCCAAACTTTTGAACGGTAGTGTATATAAAATAAAAAGCTTTTCTGAAAAGAGAAAAAAAAAAATGTGCAGAGAGCTTATGTAAATTTTTCCCATTTGAAAATGTCCGTATGCTAATACAAAAATGGGAAACACATGAATGGGAGACAGAGGGGAAAAAAAACATTAAAAATAAAACAAAGTTCAATTGATGTTTAGAAAATATCGAATTAAATATGTCTAAAAACTTCCTGGGTTACACTTTATTTTAAGGTGTCATTGTTACAGTGATTAATATTAATTAACATGTACTTACTATAGGGTTAGGGTAGGATTGGGGTTTGGTTGAGGGTTAGTTGCATGTAATTATGCATAATTTACTGTTATTACTCTGGTACATGTAACATATGTAACAAGGACACTGTAAAATAAAGTGTTCCCACTTCCTGTTTAAAAAAATGACTTTACCAGCAGCAAATCCATCAAATATCCTGTTCTTGCGCAGCACAGGGTGACTGTTAGTGCTGATGAGGACTCCCGCCTGGGCGTTCCTGAAGATATCGTTCTCTTCCAACAACCCTACGACACACAAACATCATCATAATGCTGAAGTGCAGAGGATCAGCTCACACTGGCAGTCCAAACACCATTATTAGTGTGTGACTGGAATCTGATCTAAATGATTGACTATCGCAACGGTTCAGTATGGTAGCATGTGTCTGAACGAGGCATGTTTCCCCTGGTCTACCAGAATGGTTTATGTTTTCTGGAGTCAGAGCCTGTTCTTGTCCAGGTCACACACCGGCTGCGTGTTTCCACAGACTTAATAATAATAAGTTTAATTTATATAGCGCCTTTCCCAAGCTCAAGGACGCTTCACAATAACAGTACAAAAAAACAATCAGTTCACACACGAATGGACAATACAATAGACATTTGCCCAGTCCGAGCGATTGCAGTTGCATATCGCATTACATTTTGAAATACAAACAGAAACAGAAACAAAAAACAACACTATATACAGACAGGAAGGTGGAGAGTTGAAGTAAAGATGCAAAAGACTAATGATGCTTAATGCTGTAATGTGTTGTTTACCCAACTATAAGAGTCTAAACCAACATTGCACATCCCAGTATTTGTGCAGCCAGTGTGGCATTTCTGTTTTGCAGTTCACAATATCAGGAGTGAATCTAGCTCGCATAAACACCCAGAGCTCTCATCTGTCTCATCATAGTTTTAGACATTTAAGCCCCTTTCACATAGTGTGTTGATCCTGGGAAATTGCCAGAACGCCTTCTGTGTGAACGCAAACACATACCGGGATTGATGCCGGGTTGGGGACCGAGTAACATTGCCGTGTTCAGTCCCGGAACGCGCGCTGTGTGAACAAAAGCCGTAATCAATGGCGTGTCGTAATAATGGCGCTGAAGCCGGGATCATTCCCCAGTTTTTGATCGAATCAGAGAAAAAATGCACAAGCGTGGTTTCCCGAGAGAGAAATCGCAGCTCATAAGCAAACTTAAAGGGATAGTTCACTTTGAAATACATGTTTGGAATGTTTTAGCTTACCTCAAGGGCATCCAAGATGTAGGTGTCTTTGTTTCCGCAGTATTTTCAATTTTGATATTTTTAGGTCAAACCGTTCTTGTCTGTCAGTCATATAATGCAGGTCTATGGTCTCCACCTCAAAGAGCATGCACAGAGAAGTCCAAATTAAACATGATTTAATGACTCATAAATGTAAGTACACATTGATGGCCTAAGACACGAAACGAGCGGTTTGTGTGAGAAAACGAACAGTATTTATATCGTTTTTACCTCTTGTAAACACAGCCACGTCCAAGTGATCTGAGGGCGCGGGCGCTTCGGTCTCTCGCGCGTGTACGTCACTCATACAATTGTTTTATTTTATATTTTTTTGGAATTGTTTTCTTTTACGACGGTTTAAACATCCCGGATAAGCACAAATTAGTACCATTTTAATTAGCCGTCTTACCGACAATCTCTGTTCTGTGTGAACAATGAGTGACGTACACGCGAGAGATCACTTCCGGCGCTTTCCGGAAAAGACCGAAGCGCCGGCGCCCTCAGATCACTTGGACGTGGCTGTGTTTACAAGAGGTAAAAACGATATAAATACTGTTCGTTTTCTCACACAAACCGCTCGTTTCGTGTCTTAGGCCATCAATGTGTACTTACATTTACGAGTCATTAAATCATGTTTAATTTGGACTTCTCTGTGCATGCTCTTTGAGGTGGTGACCATAGACCTGCATTATATGACTGACAGACAAGAACGGTTTGACCTAAAAATATCAAAATTGAAACTACTGTGGACACAAAGACACCTACATCTTGGATGCCCTTGAGGTAAGCTAAAACATATCAAAAAATTTATTTCAAAGTGAACTATCCCTTTAAGACGCTCCTGAGACTTTACGTCACATCGATGGGGATTTTTACGGGTTGTGTGTGAACGCACTCTCTGATTCCGGAACATCACTGGCAGTGTGAATGAACCAAAATCAAACGAACCCGGGTCAAATCCCGGGTCACTTTATCCGTGTATTTTCCGGAATCTCTGTGTGAAAGGGGCTTTAGATATAAGGAGCAATGTTACATTGCTCAACAACACAGACTTCCCCACCCCAGTCTGTTCGAGACCAGTGAGTTAAGACTGGGGTTAAACCCAGAAACCCAGAAAGGACACAGGCTGGGAACCCGCACTGGAACAGGGCTATGACACTACATGAGCCCTATCGGAGCATGAAGAAGACCGTCACCTCGTCCTCCGTTGAATATACAGATTCCCCCGTCCCGCCCGTCGTGGATCTTGTTCCTGCGGAGTGTGGGGTTGCTGTCGGTCTTGATCCAAACCCCTGCCATGGCGTTGTCAAAGATCTCATTGTCTTCAATAAAGCCTAAACCTGAGAAGAGATTAGGAGGACGCTTATTTTTCTGATTAAAATAGAAATATCAGCCTTTATATCAAATCAACACATCAAAAGGTTATGATGGAAATATTACCTGAATTGTAAACAAGAATTCCTCCATTTTGTCCACCCCAGATTTTATTCCTCCTAATTTTGGGATTGCTGCCAGTTCTACAAAAAGAAATGCAAAAAAAAAAAAATTGTCACTACTTAATTTTTTTATTTTTTTTTATTATTATTATAAACCCACAAGTCTGTGGAAGATACATGATTGTAGAACGGATTGATTATGGCAAAAATCAATCACGATTATTTAACTCATTTACTTTGGAAATGTCATGCATTTATTAAACTTCTAAAACAAACTTGTCTTTTTAACAGAAGGACTTTGAAAATAAATGCAATAATAAAAATATAATATATAAAAAATAAAAAATAAATGATATAAAAATAATTTAAAAAACACAATTTTTCCCCCCCAAAAATTCTATACATACAAAAGGGTTGAAAGTGAGAGCATCATTGCGAAATGGAATTTGGCACAATAATAATTTTTCTCGATTATCATATTAGTTGAAAGCCAAAATCTTAACTGAAAATACAATTCATAACTGAAATAAAAATCAAGTGCCGCCCAGCGAAACCTGGGAAAACCCAGACAACTTCCAGCAAATTTAGATTTGCACTGAAAGTTAGTCTGGCAAAGAGCTCATTCAAGCCCATTTCCAATCCGCCGAAATCGAGGAACCAATCAGAAGCGTTGGGGCGGGCTTTACACGATGACGACAGCGCTGGGATTTCAAAGCAGATTTTGTAGCCTACATTACAAAGATGGATGCCGCCGTCGAACATCACTCGTTCCAATCAGCTATCGCGTCTGTTTTAAGCCATTTGAACGTTTCCTTTTTGTTAAAAACCGAGCAAAGAACAACACTCGGAGATGTGTCTCCGCCGCTCTGCATACGTCATCTCCTTCATCGCTCTGATTGGGTTTAGGTCTATCCGCCACGTCCGTTGGTGACGCCCCTCTGGAAATGATTTGTCTATGACGCTTTGCCAGACCATAACTCAGTTACAACTGAGAATGGTCTGGTTTTAACCAGGCTAGCCCAGCTCTACATGATGGTGCTTAAACCTGAAAATTAGGATCACTGACCTGATCTGAACTCCAGAGTACATGTGGTTATAGATGTCATTGTCTTCGAGCACACCGTGACCATTATCATAGAAATAAACGCCCACCTGCGGACAGAAACACATTTAATGCATCACTACAAGATCAAGACACTTGAGATCTTGAGAAATCGTCCGTCCCGAACGCCAGCCGTGAGCTCACGCTTATGCCATCTTTGGTCTTTTGAATGGGAATGTTTGCATGAGAGCATTCGGAAGCAGGATACACACACTGAATGTAGATCAACACAGTGAGAGAGAGTGTGTTACACACCTGTTTTCCACTGTGTATTCTGTTTCTGCGGAGCACAGGTGTGCTGCCCGTGGTCACCCACACACCGGCCAGTGTGTTGCTGTACACCTCGTTCTCCTCGATCACACCCTGACCCTTCTCATGCTGACAAACCAGAGAGAAATCAGGGACTGTGAGTCTCTACCGGTGGTTTAGTGAACAACCTGGTTATTAGGACTAGAACAGGGTTTCCCAAACGGGAGATTGAAAGTCACCATGAAATCACAATTTTCATAGAATATTGCAGTATTTATTATAAATGATTTATCCGTGTACATCGTTTTTTTTTTTTGTTGTATTTATTCATATGCCCTCGTAATTTTTAATCAAAATAATTGCAGCATCTCTTCTCTGATGATGCGTTTTTCTGGCGTGAGGGCGGGGTAACCTGATATATTGTGTCTGACATTATATGTTTTTTGGAATATAGTGGATATTAGTGAATTTTTGATACATGTCTTTTTTTATATTTTGATGTTATAGATTGCTGGTGTATAGAGTTTGATTTAAATGTGTCTTGCATTTATAGATTCTCTTGATAGTGTAAGATTTAAAATTTCCCCTCCAGAAAATACTAATCCTGTATTCTGATAACACGTCGTAACTAATTGATTGCAGTATAAAATTAGTTTCAATGTGCTGGTGTGCAGATATATGTGTGTTTTTAAAATGTTATAGCCATGAATAAATAAAGGCTTTTTATTAGGGGTGTAATGGTTCACAAAACTCACGGTTCGGTTCGATACGTTTTCGATACAGCAAAAAGAAAAAAAATGCCAGAGAAATTTCCTTGATTTAATTTTTTTAATTATATTTTTATTAACACTAACATCATAAAGTATGATATTTTTTACTTTGAGCAATGATGGAGCTATACTTGACTTTTCTTAGGAGCATATAAAACAAAACAGCTCCTTGGACAAAATGAAATGTAATATTGTAGTAGTTATAAACAAAGGTTTATTTTAGTTCAGATTAACATTTGAGGGCAGCAATTGTATTCATAATGTCAAAATAAAACCGAGTAATGTTACTTGAAAGCATTATAGCCTAGGCTACTATTCCTGCCACACTTCCATGGTTACAGTTAGTAGTGTTCCTACAGTAAATGGTGAATGTTGCTGAACTGTGGACACTGGATAGTTCATTCATGGCACAATGTTTCTCCCTGGTTTCCGTCAGCGCTGTTTGATCTGTTAGCGATGATACAACTTGATTGCGACTAGATCTCGCAGCGATGTTAATGCTACAGTGGCAAATTCATTTTTTTTTTCTTTACTGGATTTCGCTGTGTAGTTAGTTACAGTGCTGATGATGAAGATCGGCTCGCGCTGCATTGGTCCAAACTGATAAACAGTCCGTCAAACACACAATAACGAGTAGCTCAGTTTCGTTCCGCTTACATTACATTTTCCATTTGTTGTTGGGCAATGTTGTGGTCACGCCGGCGTCTCTTACATTATGAGCGCACTTGCGACGCACCTACATTTGAAATAACTAAATTTTGGTCAGCAGGAAAAATGGTCCAACGAACCGTTCGGTTTAAAAATGCGTACCAAAAACCGAACCGAAAGCCTCGTACCGAACGGTTCAATACGAATACGTGTATCGCTACACCCTTACTTTTAATATATAATTTTTTATATATTAAAAAAATTGTTCAACTTGCAAAAATCATACGAGGCCAAGGCACTTTATATATATATATATATATATATATATATATATATATATATATATATATATATATATATATATATATATATAAGTGCCTTGGCCTCGTATGATTTTTGCAAGTTGAACTATTCCGCATCCAAAGAGCACTGAGATACAGACTTTACAACCCAGTAGCACTTTGTGCATCTTGTGTTTATCTATTTACAAAAAAAAAAAAAATGTATATATATTTTGTTTATTTGCATGTCATCTGATCAACCAACATCAGAGAACCATGAACATGTGAATGTGTTGTTAAAAGATGAATGATGATGTTTTCGTCTGCTCACCACATAGATGCCTCCATGCTGTCCGTCGTGGATCTTGTTGTGCCGGACGATCGGGCAGCTGTTGGTCCGGATCTGGATTCCCGCTAAAGCGTTGCCGTAGATGTCGTTCCCTTCGATGAGACCTCGGCCGTCGCCGAATATGTAAACACCACCCTGGTTGCCATTAAATATGGCGTTACCCCTGCGATTGATCGGAGGGGAGATTATCACTTTGCGAGAACAGTATTACTGTATGTACTGATATGATTAGACTGCAGAAATCATATACTCATGTCCGTTATTGACTCACTCACCTGATCGTGGGGTCGCTGTTTGAGGTAATCCACACACCCGCAAAGTTGTTTGCATAGATCTTGTTCTCGATGAACTGGCCTCGGCCCTTCTCGTGCACGTAGATGCCGCCCGTCTGCCCGTGATGGATCTCGCAGCGCACTACTGTAGGGTTAGCATACGCCTTCACCTCGAAACCTGCTATCCGGTTCCTGTGGATGTTGCAGCTCTCAAAGTAGCCCTGCAGAGGGAGCCAGAGTCACGAGAAACACACTTCAACTGAGCTGCACCAGTGTTTGCCATGTTCACAATTACATGCTACTCTTGCTTGAAATGCAGTATGCTGTGCAAGTATGCACGTTTTCTGTAAAGTACAAAACTGGGATATTTTTAGGTACAAATGCAAACTGTAAAAAAAAAGAATGCAAAGATGCATGCCACAGTATAAAACTTTTATAGTTGTACATACTATTTAAATATTTTTTTTAATTTGCATTAGGCAGCAATAAACATTTCAAAAAGTAGTATGCTACAATGACTGCAAGTAGCAGTTAGAAGTTATTTTACAAATGTAATCCATTTTTGTTTACAAATGGTGATCAAATAATGATTATTAACAAAAAATCCTTATGTCTATTATTCCTAGTTTATCACACTCTAATACTTCACAATGTAGGATACAGTGTATAGTGTACATACTGCAGAAAGAGTAGTATGATAATATGATCATATTTATTATGTTAGTATTCCATTCCAGTGTTGCTATTACCTAAACAATGACTAAATAACCATAACAATAACTTTAACTATTAAAAATTGTTGAAAATAAAGCTGAAATAAGAAATAAAAAAATATATATAATATTAGAACTTTACAAAAGTTGGCTTAGCAATTAACTGAAATAAAAGTACTAAAACTAAAACAGAAGTAAAAATACAGGTAAATAAAAAAAAAAAAAAAAAAAAAAAATGACAAACACAAATAAATAGTAAAACTAAAATTTAAAATGAAACCTGAAAATATAAAAAATGAAAGCAAATTCAAAATATGAATAAATTCTAAAATAGTATCTAAATGATACCAAAAATAACAAAAAATAATACATTTCATTAATTAAATATAGAGCTGAAATAAAATATAAATATTAGATGCTATACTTTGCAACCAAAAAATTTGAATTGTTGCAACTAACTGAAATAAAATAAGTTAAAGGTGAAGTACCAAAATTACTAAAACAGAAATAAAAAATAAATTAAAGCTAAATAGAAATATAAAAAAAACTAATAAAAATGACAAAGCACATAAACTACTAATAACAGCAGCAGGTTAACTAAAAAAAATAAAAGGAAAAATATTCATAAATAATATAATAGCATATAAATAATACTAAAATGTTTGGTATTATAAAGTCATGAGGGATATTCAGAGTGAAACGGTTATACGTTAAATATCAGTTTGTGGATGATTAAGAACACACACACACACACACACACACATCAGACACTGTCATTGTGTTGTGCAAAGACACAAAGAGTTGTTACCATGCCGTGGTCAAACGTGAACACCCCGACATCTCTGCCGTGATGGATGTGGTTCCGTCTGATGATGGGATTGCCGTGGTTTTTCACCCAGATCCCCGCTAGAGCATTATTGGAGATCTCGTTGTCTTCGTAAATGCCCTGCAGAGCAAACGCAGAGAGCGACGGCGTGACTCATCTGCTACAGAGGACCGATCTGACGGGATATTCGGGACAGAGTTTCATATTACCTGCGCGTGGTCCGTGATATAGAGCCCTACATTCTCACAGTCACTGATGTTACAGTGTTTGATCGTGGGTGAAGCTCCCTGGCCACTTACACACACTGCAGAGCCCACTGCACACAGATAACACACGACCGTCAGCATCACACACACAACAGCAGGGCTTTTCAGAAGTAAAAAATGCCATTTAAAATCTCTTAATACACAAGATTTGAGCTCATGTGCATGTTTACTCACGAAAAGCAATTAATAAGCAGTGCTGTGGAACGCAAAAACGTGCCGATTTAAATACCTAACCAAAATTATGATGATGCTTGACTTCTGGACATTCACTATTGAGCACTACAACAAACATGCAATATATTAGTAGTAGTAGCAGTAGAGCTGCATGATTAATCGTTAAATCTATGTATATTAAAACTTTTGACAAGTACGATCACAGTGAACATTCAGATATACCAAGAGAGAGCAGCAGTCATAGGTGTGAAGCCGCTTCAAAAACTGTTTTTTCAACCACACAGTATCGTTATTTCTGTCTAAGATATATTCATATTTTCACAGAAGTACTGGGATAGAAGTTTATAGTTCGGATATAAACACTGATGTCTATGGTGAAAATAGAGTAAATTTATTTTTTGGACATAACTTCAAATAAAGACTGAATCAATTATGTCGTTACACCAGTAGGTGGCGACAAATGACTGTTAAAAAATGTATTTGTCATTGAATCATTCATTCAAGAGATGCTCAAAAACACTGATTCACGAGTGCCCTGCATCCCAATGTCCATACTTTCCATCCTAAACAGTGTGTGAGATTAGAATAAGTGTGTCCCAAAGCATTGGATGTTGAAAGAGTATGTCAAAAGTGCCCGGATGGTCTACTATCTTCAGCGGTAGGTTTTCGGAGAGTGGATCCTTGCTCACTATTAAAGGCTAATATTGCCCACAACCCATTGCGCTTTGGAAGAGGGTTCGACTACAAACACGAGTAAAACATGTTAAAAAACTACAAAACATGGCAGATAGAAGCAACCGACGGAAAGAGGTTTAGATATAGGTTTAAGTGACTAATCAAAGTTTAGCCTGATAAAAAAATATTTATTTAATGTTATCCATCTTACAGGTGAAACTCGAAAAATTAGAATATCGTGCAAAAGTTAATTTATTTCAGTAATTCAACTTAAAAGGTGAAACTAATATATTATATAGACTCATGACATGCAAAGTGAGATATTTCAAGCCTTTATTTGTTATAATTTTGATGATTATGGATTACAGCTTATGAAAACCTTAATCAATATTCTAATTTTGAATTTGGGGTTTTCATGCTGTAATCATAATCGTCAAAATTATAACAAATGTAATGAGTCTATATAATATATTAGTTTCACCTTTTAAGTTGAATTACTGAACTTTTGCATGATATCATATGAACTTTTGCATGATATTCTAATTTTTCGAGTTTCACCTGTATATTTCATCTTCAATAATGTGGATTTTTATAAAGATCCGTTTTGGCCATTAACTTCTAAATGCAGCATTATGCATTAATATAAGGGGAGTTCTCCACGTGAAAGTACTCTTTGGCTACACACTCAAAATTATGTAGATCTTCACAAAAAGAGTCCATACTTTTATGGCGTAGTATAAGTAGGCAAATTGGGACGCAGTCTTTAAAAGTGAGTCATTGAATCATTCATTCAAACAGAGTTAAAAAAAAATTAATTCAAATGAACAAAATATTTTTTTAATAGACAGCAACAATTGACATTTTGTCAGAATCTGTAGTAAATGACATATTTTGTTTAGTTTTCCATTCAGAAATGATACATTCATGTACATAGAGCACTATATACACTTTACGCAGGTTTACTGCATTCTGCCTTTATGTGGTTTAAGTCTATTGTCTATGTAAAGTTAACTGCTAACTTTCTGCACATTGTATGTTTTCCTGCTCTGCGAGAAGATCCAAAGTAAGAGATTCAATGCACTTATGTACAGAGTGTAATGCACTATGATAGTATAGAAAATGTGATATATATGGAGGGAAAACCAATTAATTTAGGGGGGGGGAAAGAAGCAAGCTGTGGTCACCTGTGCAGGTACTGCGGATGATGCAGTGGTCAATGATGGGGCTGCAGTTGACCGTGATCTCCAGGCAGTGATGAGCGTTGTGATGTTGAGCTGATTTGTCATCAGGATTGAACTGCAACAAAGACCCATTATATGCACGTCTAATAATGCACATCTGCCTAAAAACGGCCCTGTTGCAATAATGCCTTTTTGTTTTCCTGTGCATGAACGAACAGGTTTGAAACGACATGAGGGTGAGTAAATTACATGATTTTAATATGTAGCTGAACTATTCCTAAACCTTCTTTTACTGAAGAAACTCACCTTTATTGTCATATATCCTACATACGCGTCCTCTGACCCCTCCATGAACACAAACGTTGAATCTCTAGTGTTCTCGATGATGACTTTATCCGCTACTTTCCCCGGAGCTGCAAAAGCACATGTACGATTAATATTTAAGTTATACAGAAGAAAATCACACTACCATTCAAAGGTTTTGGGTCAATCATGTTTTAGGAAATTTATACTTTTATTCAGCAAGGATGCATAACAATTTTTATTTTTTTATTTTTATTTAACCTTTATTTAACCAGGAAAATCCCGTTGAGATTACTAATCTCTTTTTCAAGGGAGTCCTGGCCAAGACAGCGGCACAGATCACAACGATTCAGTACATTACAGACAATTTCATAAGACTATTTAAAAACATTCACAAACCATAGATTTAATTTCCAAACTTTTGAGCAAGAGTTTAAACTGGCCTATTGAAACCAGTTCCTTTAATTTCCAGAATTTTTGTAAATTGTTCCAAATTAATCAAAAGTGGCAGTAAAGACATTTATAATGTTACTAAATATTTCTTTTTCAAATCAATGCTGTTTTTTTAAACTTTCTATTTATGAAAAAATCCTGAAAAATCGATTGCCACAAAAATATGACTCTTTTCAACATTAAAAATAATCAGAGATCATATTAGAATGATTTCTGAAGGATCATGTGACACTGAAGACTGGAGTAATGATGCTGAAAATTCAGCTAATAAATTTCATTTTATAATATGTTCAATTAGAAAAGAGTTATTTTTACTATATTTTGGATTAAATTCACCCTTGGTGAGCATAAACGACTTCTTTCAAAAAAAATGAAGAAAACTTATTGACCCCAAACTTTTGAACAGTAGTGTACTTAAATATTCACATATATTCGCATACCAGCGCCAATCATCGTGATGGGCGACTCGATGTAGATCCATTCATCTGTGTAGATCCCAGAGTGGACAAATATCAAACCGTCAAAGTGGGCTTCCTGAACCCCTCCCAGAGCGTCTTCGATGGTGTCGTAATACTGAGGAAAGAGTTAAAAGCAAAATTACAAAAATCATCCTCACTCGTAATTACACAATAAATACTGAGCCATATTTGAAGCGCTTATTTGAACAAACTCCTAGCATTATTTATTAAAGGGGCGATATGTAGAATTCAGAAACCCCTGTGAACCAACATGAACAAACAATTAACAATGCAAATTCAAAAGGTTGATAAATGCTTTAAAAAAATACATTGCTTATTGTTAGTTCATGTTAGCTAATCCATTTCCTAATGTTAAAAAATGAGACCTCATTGTAGAGAAATTGCATGATCTTTGCATCAAAAAATCAACAAAAAAAATCTTAAGACTTGCATGAAAGGAGGGAATAAAATATATCTGGACATTGAAACAAGGACAAGAAAATATTTTCATAGTCTTATTTTTTTTAATCAGAAAACGTACACATCTAGTTGTTTTTTATTCTTATACACAAATGTAATAATTTATTGAACTTTGCTCCTTGAGGCTGCTGTGTGTTACTGTGATTTTACCACAGTTCGGAGGTGTTTACAAGGCATGACGCATAACATCATCCATATAATGCATAAACAAACCATATAATCCATCTACAGATGATCTAGGACGTACCAGCATGTTTTCTCGTCCCTTGTATCTGGCCGGGTTACTGTAGAAATGCTCTGCGAAGCCCGGCTTCACGTGAGCACCTTTATACTGCAAACACAAAGATCAGGGATCCGTCAGTCTGTGTTTCTTCACTAATATACTCTCATAAAGCTCACTGATGAAACTAATGATTACTGACACATCAAGATCTCCCTAATTATCACATTACCACACCATCTGTCCACTTTTGGATCCTGGGGGAAAAGACTAAATCACTCATTCTCAGATTTCTATTGTTGTGCTTGCTCTTGAATACACAATATTTAATAGCTTCCGAGCAAGCACTTGCAGCCAAATGAGAATGACAAAAATAGCCCATTTAATTGTAAAGGGTCAGAGGGAGCATGGAAAATGGGCTCTAAATACTAGGGCTGTAATCTCCCAGTCGACTAGTCGATTTATTGGTCGATACGTTCTGGCTCGACCAAAATTATAATTGGTCGATTTTTTGCCGTGTTAATTTCATCAGGTGGAAAGCACTAACTGCTAATGTGGGTGTTTTCAAAGTACCCCTGTTTCACAGGTAACAGTCTGTCTTCAGAACGCCCCCCCTTGTTTTCACTTTTTTTGGATTAGCCCAACCCAGAGCCGTTAAATATGAGAGTTGCGACACTCTTTGATCTCGCCGCCACGCGGTCACATGGTTCGTGTAGCTCTCAATAGCTCCAAACAGAGCCGCGCTGTCAACCAGTTTGAATGATTTTAAGCGGGACAGACAGCAGCAGCTATATTTGCAGCAATTATCAGTAAATATTTACGCATAATGTACATTTGATTATGTTGACGCTTACTTTAAATACATATAATAGCATTTTTTTCTGGGGAGTGACAGAAACACAGCATTAATAAGTTTTTGTTTAATTTGGAGGGAAATGGACTGCTCCCATAACGTAAAATGCATTAACAGCAACAACTATATTTGCAGCAATGTTCGGTAAAATTTTACTTCATAAAATGAAACTGGAGAGATAGTTAATGAGTGAATTAACCATGTTCCTAAATAGGCTACGATCCATAACATGCATGTTTTTAACATACGATCCATAACTGTTAACGGGATTCATTTCAGTATGGCTAATCTACCCCTTCATCCTTCCCTAATCATAGACTAAACCATTCGGCAATGCTTCCTTTTACAGTCCTGTTACCCATGTACTTACTATGTACTTATTATAGTAATTATAATTACTGGGTAATAACTAGGTACTAACCCTGAACCTACCCCTAACCCATGTACTTACCTTATATTAGCCAGTACTTTCTAGGTAAGTACACTGTAAGTACACGTAAGTACTGTACTGTAAAAGGAAGAGTTATCAAGCATTCATCAGAAAACACACACAAATACATGTTTACGATGTACTGTGTACAGTACACATGTATATATATTTATATCAAACATAACTAACCCTAACCCATTCACATAATATATTGTGTGTGTATATATACTATATATATATATATATATATATATATATATATATATATATATATATATATATATATATATATATATATATATATATATGCATGTATATACGTACGTATGAATGCACATGTATTTATGTATATGTATTACACCAACACACATTTTGACATATATGCATATATATATACACACATAACCCTAACCCATTTAATAAATCATACATACACACATAACCCTAACCCATTTAATGAATCACACACACACACACACACATTTTGACTCATCAACTAATAACTAAATAACTAAAACTGGCTACATAAAATATAACTACTGACTAGATTCACGAGAGGTCGGCTAATGTGAGTAAAAGTAAAAAAAATACAGTAATTTCATTAACTTACCCGTGAGCGTACCTCGGAAACACTGAAAATGAATGGGGTTCAATGCTGGAACTATCAGTGACTATTGGCCGCTCCACGACACGCGTTACAGTCTTCCGCATTCCTAAGTTCCTATGGCGGTCTATGGGAGTGTCCCAACTCTGTTTTTCAACGGCTCTGGCCCAACCCAATGCCTAAACCTAATGCGCAATTGCGCTGTGCCCACTGTTTGTACTTGTTTTAAGCCCATTCTTTATTTTTCAGCTCTCGTTTTGATCTGGTTTGTATGATAAATATTATTTTTTTATTATAGAGGACGTGCCTTTTGTGTTTAAGAGTAAAAGCTTGAAGTTGATGGTATATTCGTGTCTCAGCCGCGAAGCTGAGCTCCTATGTTCAGCCTCGCTCGGTGTGAGGACATGCACAGAGCGGCTGAAATGATAGTAGCCAAGTTTCCATCCACTTGTCAATCGAATTATCTGAAGTTCGGTAAAAAAAAACTCATGCGAATAAACCTGGTGAAAGTGTGTTTACATCCAACGGCTTTAAAGCGAATACAAACCTGTGCGTAATGACGTCACATGCTGTTTTGCGATCAAATTGGTATATCGAATTGATTCGAGACATTTAAGGTGTTTCCATTCATTTTCGCACTGAATCGCACAACATTCAAGCAAACATTTGCGAACAAAGTTTTGCTAGACAAAATGGATCGCGCCATCTACCAACAAATGATCAATATTGCACAAGTTGTAGCCTATAGTGCTTATGTGCCAGCTGATAGCGACATATGTAAGGGATAATGTACAGCAGGGGTCTCAAACTCAACTTAACTGGGGGCCGCTGGAGGTGGAGTCTGGGTCAGGCTGGGCCGCATCAAGTATTCCACAAAAAATAGTATTCAAGTATTCCAAAAAAGGAGCACAACTGATCCAATCTTCAAAAGCTGTCCTTCTGACAGTTGAAGTTCATTTTCCTTATACACAAAATCTTTGTGATACTTCATTTTACAAACATTCTTTTTCTTTTCCTTATAACACATATTTGTGATACTTATATTTGCTTATGTCCTTTTTATTTTCTTTATACAACACATTAATGATATTGAATGTTTTTTTTGGAAGGCACATTTCCTTTTATTATACTTAGAAAAACGATTATTGCTTTTGAAATACAAATATTTGCAGTCATGTCTGCCCGTCTTAGGGCCTGTTCACATATCGCGTCTTTTGCGCGCTCAAGTTCGTTATTTCAAATGTAGGTGCGCGGTATGCGCGCTCATAATGGAAGCGACGCGGTCGTGGTGCGGCGCGCTCGTTTTTTCCAAGCTCGTGCGCGCCGCATCGAGATAAAAACATCTCAACTTTTCAGAATGCCGCAAGCACACCGTAGCTTAGCAAGGACAGACGCCTACGGAGCGCAACCGCGCTAGCGCTTTGGAAAAAGGAGAACGAGGCGCGCCTAGCGTTTTCTATGCGTTTTTGGGCGCTAAATGTGAATTCAGCCTTATTTAATTATTTCTACACATGTATAGTGTCTCAGGCAAATTACTGACTGCACAAATCAAAGCAAACCTTCTTATCAACCTGCTGGACACATATTACAAGCTCAAAATGATTATTCTCACATTGTTTTAGAGCAGGTCTCCAACACGTCGCTCGCGAGCTACCAGTAGCTCGTGGCATGTTCACATATCGCGCTCACATATTTTGCTTGCTCAAGTTCGTTATTTCAAATGTAGGCACGCGCAGTAAGTTTGTACTTCGCGGTTGTCTATGACAACTATTGACAACAAACCCACCGTAAGCTGTCATGAGACTATCTATGGTAGCCCATAAGGGATAACATTTTTTTTTTTTTTTTTTTTTTACGCGGCACACGCAACGACGGGCGGCACTAACATTAAACTTTAATGTCAAGTAGGGGGCCACAAAATATCACCCCGCGGGCCGCGAGTTTGAGACCACTGATGTACAGCGAGGCGGTTGTTAGCCTGCCCTGAGAGGGGTTGTATTCGCTATAACAACCGCATTATCCCGCTTATTACATGGCTACCTACCAAATAAATCAATAATTTGCCACAAAATATTGATTTAAAAAGGAGTTTAAATGGTGTGGGAACGACAGCGCTCCAAACTGTTCTGGGAGATCGTGGTTCAGAGACACCTCACGGAAACCCTTTGGTTGAAGCATTTTTTTGCTTTGTCCACTTACATCTGTCTTTGTTGACACCCGCCATGTGTGCGCAAACAGAGCGGAAATACTGGGCGGAAATGAACTAAAACTTGTTTTGTGGCGTGTTGCAACCATAAAATGACCTAAAACTTAATCGCAATTCATTATTTATTCGGCAAATAACGTTTCCATCAGCGTTTATCGCATGAGCCGTATATCGATCAAGATAAAATCCGATGAGACGGAACGCATTTCATTTGAGTCGATATTCATGAAATTCAATGGAATTTTACTGTTTCCATAAGGCATTTTTCATCCGATATCACTTAATTCGGATAAAAACGTGTGGATGGAAACATAGCTAGTGTCTATGAGTTACTATAACATATGACAAAAACAATTGTCTAAATTATGTTGCATATTCCTCAACAGTTCTTGTACTGATATCACTAGCTGACATAGTACTATTTTCGGAAATCATAGGCTATAATATTGCGAGTGGCACGTGATGCAACGCTGTCAGAGCCGACAGACTCGAGTGTGTCATTTCAGTGCAAGTCAAAAACGATTTAATATACTTCAAATAGCCTACTAGTTTTTATGTTTATTGATAATTAATTTAGGCGGACAAGGTTACCAAGTCCTGCGCAGTTAATTAATCAAACGTTTTTTTTTTTTCGTTTTTTTTTTGTTGATTACAGCCCTACTAAATACTAACTTACGATTTTTAATCCAAAACGCGTAACAAATGAATCAGGGGAACAGTACCAGTTGCTGAAAGCTCTCCTTCCAGGGATTGGGCTGTTCATGCTCCTCTGGGTTGATCTGGAAGAACTTCCCAGACTCGGGGTGCATCATGGGACGCGTGTACTCGAAAACCTCCATGTAGAGTCTCTTCCTGCAAACCAGATGAGAAGAATCGAGATCAATGACCCTTATGCTGAAACTCTCCGAAAAAAAGGTTCAATGGGGTTCAAGAGTTGCTTAATTTGATTCATATCCATGAATCAGTTCAAAAGAGCTGATTCAATCAACTGGTTAAAAACTGTGATTCATTTATTTGAGTAATCACTCAAATCTGTTCAAAGAAATTTCCATGAGGCATTTTTTATTTAATAAATTGTTGAAGTAAATAATTATTGCTGTTTATGTATTGTATTGGTACATATCATTGAAAATGCTTCAATATACTTTCTTGTGCTCGAGTGACAAAAAAAGTTTTTGATTTTATGAAATTTCATTACATGCACCCGAATAATCGGATCGACGGCTCAATCGGAGTGAAAAGCCTTCATGTGAACACCTCAATCGATCTGACTGAGCTCAACCCCAATGAAATTTCGATCCGATTGAAAGGGATTGAGCAGACCTGAAATAATCTGATCAACAGGGGAAAGAAATTAAGCATGTAAAAGCTTGAATCTAGGGCTGCAACTAACGATTATTTTGATAATCGATTAATCGGACGATTATTTTTTCGATTAATCGATTAATCGTATAAAAATTCAATTAGATTTTTTGTTTATTATGACTAAATAAAACCCGGTTACACTTTATTTTAAGGTGTCCTTGTTACAGTGTAATTATATATTTAAGTACAGAGTAATATTAAGTAACTACATGTACTTATAGGAATAGGGTAGGATTAGGTTGAGGGTTAGTTGCATGTAATTATGCATAATTTACTGTTATTACTACAGTAAGTACATGTAACATATGTAACAAGGACACCGTAAAATAAAGTGTTACCTAAAACCCTCAATTAGGATATTTATGTGTAAAAGTGTACTTTAAAAAGTGCAAAAGCCACACATTGAGTTTTACAAATATCAATATTTGCATTGTTTTTAATGATAATTGCTGATGGCAAGTTGACAACCATGATTAATGTAAAAAAAAACATTTATATCCAACATATTGTTTTAACACAATTTTTGTTAAAACAAATTTACAGACATGTTGTTCAGATGTGAAGATATAAACTAAAAACATCTCAAATATATAATTCATTTAATTTTTATTTAAAATTAATTGAATTATAAGGATAACTTGTAAAAAATAAATATAGAAAGACTGAAAACAAGCGTGTGAACATAGAGCCGCAGTAGATCACGTTTGAAAAACAATTAAAACTTAATAGTAGACAAATGCTATATAAAGAGAGCGGAATGGTACGCAGCAAGCTAACAGGCTTGATTAAAAAGACAGGAAAAATGATGCATTAGTGCACAAACATTCGCTGAAAACCACTGAGTACAGTGACTAAAAAACAATAATTTACTGCTGGTGTTATTAACTGCCTTTATATTTAGTGCTTCGCTTTGTAAAGACCGTTTTAATTTAATATTTCTGCGGTAGCACTATTTTAATCCATCACTTATGTTGCGAGCGAACTGATTGCGCAACCTGATGCTCGAGACGCAAAATACAGACATCCCAAGTCTCCCGGAAGTTCTGGAAGTCACCCGCATATTGATAGCGGCTCGCAAATTAGTTCAAACTCCCGGGATTTGAGCACGCAAGCAAGAGCGCGCATGCGAGACAGAAGAGACTGTGCTCCAAACCGTGTAGCGCGAGCGCGCGGCAGAGCAACGGAGGGAGAGAGACCTTGCGTGTGTGTGCGTGTGTGCCTCATGAAGCGCGTGTAAGACAGAGAGCATCCTGATTGGCCTGTTTCAACCAATCACCAGTAAACGCTCCCCGTGACGTAAGCAGACCAACTAATCGATAATGACATTCGTTGACAACGATTTTCATAATCGATTATTATCGATTTTATCGATTAGTTGTTGCAGCCCTACTTGAATCCAACTCTTTCTCAATCGGATGCAAAAAAAAACTTGTGCACATGCGCTGTGCCATGATGCGCATATTTACATACATTAAGTTAAGAGATGCACCGATTACAATTTTCTAGGCCGATTCCGATTTTTCAGAGTTTGACCTGCCGATACCGATTTCATTTTTTCTAACCACTTTACAGCACACACAAATATTTATTTTCTCTCTTTTCTTTAGTAGAACATTTTACATAGAACATTTTTGAACAGTAATCGCTAGGGGTGTAACGATATTCGAACCGAACCGAAAAACCGCGATACAGACCTCACGATTCGAATCGCGATACTCTCATTGCGTACCGAACACGCCCCGCCCCGCCCCCTGCTACCCCGGCCCCGCCCGGCTCAAATGGACCTCATGTCCTAGGTGTACACAACGAATTCAGTTTTGTAGCCTAACCACCATTAACACCAAATAAAAAGCTCCGTGTTTTGTTACTTTCGATAATAAGCAAGGTGTAATCTTTCAAATTCTGTCTATTTGATCACGAAATTCAAACAATAAATGGCGTTTTGGCGCTCTTTGATGTGGCGTGACAGATCGCTGTAGGCCTACTTAGCTCCTCATTTCAAACGGCAGCGCGGCGCGTGAGTAAACGCGATCATCTCTTCCTCAGTTACAGAATGGACACCTAAAGGTTTGTTGAAAGATACAGTATACTTACTGAAAGGCATCATAACTCGTGTAATCGCTCAGTCAGTGTTTCAGCAGCGGAAAGACGTCAATAAAACACCATAGCTTGTCACTAGCATATTTACCTCAACAGGCAAGTGATTCAGTGTCCACAACTTTGGTTCCTAAATGAAATCTTGCACTAAATAAATGTGTTAGCCTATATATTATATTTTACTTAACCTGTTAATGATATCTTGATTATTTAATGTATGTTTAAAATATGTTTCATGAAAATGAAAACTGTGTAAATTATTATATTTCAATAACAAATTAGAGTAAAAACACAAGTTAATGCAAAAACTGCCTTATGTTCAGTTTACATGTTTTCATACAATGTGTTGTGTGTTGTTTATTATATCTAAAAAATAAATAGCATCTGAATTTAGGTTAAAAGTCTAGGCTACAACATCTAATGTTATAGTAATGTGTGGCTCCCTAGCCTATATAGTTTACAGCATAAGCAGATTTTTTTTTTAATCCTTGTGAAAAGTTTAATTGTAATTTAATTAATTTAAAGACAAAGACAATTTTTTCATTAAACCACTGTTTAAAAAAAACAAACAACAAAAAGCAATTTTAGCTTTCCGAACCGAACCGAGACGTCAAAACCGTGGGAAAACCGAACCGTCAGTTTTGTGTATCGTTACACCCCTAGTAATCGCTATAAAATAGGACTATATAAATTACTCCTGGTTTGGGAAATTCACACACATCTTAAAGTGCAGTGTTATGGAAGAACAATCTCCTTCTTTTTACATCCTATATCCAACTAAAAAAAATTGTTCATTTCAAAAAGAAAATTCATTTTCTTTTCTGACATATACTCCAGTTCTTGTTAAAACACACCAGACATGCAAATTCTTGTGTGAAATCATATTTATTTTGTCCATCAAAAGTGTGCTTTCACTTTAATTGAGCGTGAGCAGCGCAGCAAAAATAGACTCGGCGCCGAAACCGCTTCACTGCTGCTCATGTGACGCTCCTGTTCCCGGTGTGAATGCATTTGACCGGCATAAAATCGGCATATGTCAAACTGACCGGCTGGTCGCCGATCACGCGAAAATCGGCCAATTCCGGTCACCAGCCGATCAATCGGTGCATCTCTAATTAAGTTACTGGAATGTGCGTATGTTTATGCATGTCTCGTGTCTTATGAACTGTGGCTTTCTTCAGTTCTGGACCGGATGCACTGACGTTTTATTTGGAATGCATGTAATGCACATGTAAATGAATATGTGAATCTAACTGAATGTTTAGGGTTTATATAAACAGAACTTTCAGAATCTGAAATTGGATTCATTCCGATTGACACGAAAATTAGACCATTTACTTCATGCACTAAACATTTTGAATCTTTTTGGCTAAAAAGGCTGTTTTGTTGACTGAGTAAACCAAAAAACATACAGTTTCGTCCAAATACCTAACTTACCAGAGGATGGGGTCGTTGGCTAATTCACTAAATCGTTTACACACGCAAGCCGCTCGACACAGGTCCTGCTCCAACAGATAGGAGAAGATTTTTAGGACCACCTCGTCTGGAAGCTTCACCTGCAGGTACTGCTCCGCTGGGGTGACTGGGACACAAGAGAACCGGCGTTAATGAAAAGACATGACGCTGATATCACTCCATTTCAAGTCTGATGTCCATTACCAGGCAAATCTTGTGATTTTCCCGACACTCTGGCACGTTTTGCCCGATGCCCAAAGTTTTCTGTTGTTGATGTGGAAGCACCCTTTGAATAAGAAGAGTTTGCACCTGTTAGTTGCAGCGCATACAAAACACATTCATACTGGTTTTTTATTTCATGCATGTAGGAACCTATCATTTCAGCAATGCAGAAAACCAGAAGGGAATCGCAGAATCCAGTCTTAAAAATTTAATTAACAGTATAATGTGGAATGTCATGGAATTTGGCAAATTTTGGATGAATTAATCAAAAGTAGGGCTGTACAATTAAATCACAATATGGACTAGTGTTTGTGAATATTAAAGCGTGAAAATAAAAACATTCCACATTGCCCTTTTCTTTAAAAAAAAAAAAAGAATTAAATGATTAAAATTAATTCAATTAGTTAAGTTCTCTGATTGTGTTTTTAATGGTTTAAATGTTAAGACAAAAAAAAACACAAAGAATTTAAGAAAAATAAAACAGAATTTGAGAAAAAGATTTCAGGTGCCTAAAAAAATTTATTTTAATTTAAATTGATGTTAAATTGTACAAGTTTTATTATTTTAATTAATTAGACATGCTTTTTAATTACTAAAATATAATATTAAAATACATAATAAAATTGGAAAAATGGAATTTCATAGGGCCCTGTGCATTAAAACTGCTGTTGTGGTTTCAGCCTAAATTAATATTGCAGACAATCTTTATGCATAGCATACTACACTTCTAATGTAAACCGCTTCCTGACATGATACTTTGATGTTGAGCAGCATTTACGCACCTCCATGTTGGTCTTTGTTGGACAAGCTGTTCTCTTCGGTAACAGAGATTTTCTTCGAAGTTGGTACGGACTATTTTGAGCGCCTTGACCAGATTCTTCTGCAACCATCTCGGCAGGATCTGCCTCATCTGGAAGAAGAATAAAAAAAGTTAAATTACTTTTAACACAAACACCGAGGGGTCACACTGGATAAAATAAATAAAAACAGTTCAAAGCAAACGTATAAAGTGGGAGTTCATTCACATACAGCACATCTCTAACTTGACAGTCATGTTTTTGGGAAAAACTGCTCAGATCTTAGACAAAATAATATTTCCAAATGATACTATTATTTTTTATAACATTTCTGGACAGAAGCCCCAGCACCATTTAATTCTAAACTATGTCTTCTATATAGTATGCAAAATTAGGATAGACCATCCCATATAATAAAGCACTAAAGATTCAGTGGGGGAAAAATATGCATCAGAAAAAAAGAAATTCTCCCAGCAATAAATAGTCTTGTCAACGTACTTTTTGCACTCTTTCCAAACCATGGCAGGCACAATGATCACAAACAGGATAATAAACATTCAAAATCCAAAAGGCTGTTCCACACATCAAGAAAAACAGTTGTGTTCCTCCACTAGTATAATATTGTCATTAGGAATAACAAAAGAAACTGCATCCACCCTACTAAATCAATTCCCGGTGTCTTGTCTCAGACTCTCAATGCTCAAGAACCAGAATGTATTTCCTCAACGAACTCAAACACATCTAAGTCAACATATGTTGAATGTATAATCAATATTTGCATAATTGTTTTAACTCTCATGTTTTACCTGTAACCAAACATCCAAAGTGTCAGTGAAAGTGGCGATCGCAGCTCAAACAATGGCAACTTGTTTAAATACAGGTGAAACTCGAAAAATTAGAATATCAAGTTCATTTATTTCAGTAATTCAACTTAAAAGGTGAAACTAATATATTATATAGACTCATCAAACCTTTTCACAATATTCTAATTTTGAATTTGGGGTTTTCATAAGCTGTAAGCCATAATCATCAAAATTATAACAAATTAAGGCTTGAAATATCTCACTTTGCATGTAATGAGTCTATATAATATATTAGTTTCACCTTTTAAGTTGAATTACTGAAATAAATGAACTTTTGATATTCTAATTTTGAGAGTTTCACCTGTAATTCAAGCCGAATGAAAGATTAAGGACACGGCAGTCCTCGTCCTGACGCACTTCCAGAGATAAACGCTCAGATCAGCAAAAGGTGGAACAACTTGGAATTCAGTGTTTAACGGCATATTGAAATCATATCACATAGTCATATATCGCTCATTTCTTGGACTGGGCAAATGTCTATAGGCTTTATGCCGAGCGTCACGTGACCAAACCGGAAAACGGGTCTCATTGCATCCGCTTGTCAGAGAAAGTGTTAACGGCCGTAAGAACCAACTACGATATCTATGGATTTTTAAGGTAATCAGCTAACCTAATAAGTTCACTTTGTTATTGGTGTTTTATGCTATTTAAATATCTAAACGTTAGTGTGAAGAAGAAAAATTAAAAAAACTTTTAAATATCAATCTGCACATGCGAGGGACATTGGTTATGCTCATTTTTGCTTGCTCCTTTTAAGTTATCTTGAGTAAAACCGCAAAAAATGTCATGAAGCACATACAAAAGACCTGAATCGGAAGCGATGTGATCTGTTTTCCGGCTTGGTCACGTGACGCTCGGCATAAAGCCTATTGTCCATCTATGTATGAACTGATTGTTTGTTCTTTACTGTTAATGTGAAGCGTCCTTGAGCTTGGGAAAGGCGCTATATAAATTAAACATATGTTATTATTATTATAATATCAAGGCACTGTACGACACGCTTGTAAGACTGTGCCAAAACAGTTGTGAAGGAAAGCAGCGGAGAGGCCGTGACCCGGCACAAGGAAAAACACAAGGCTGATCTCCTCGGCAGCTGTAGCAAGCGGAGCAGGTGACGCCGCACGCGGGTCACGAGAGACAGAGGCTGAACGGGCCGGCAATGACACCCGTCCGGGGGGAGTTAGCCGTGTGGCATCCCTTTGATGACATGAAACCAGAGACAAGAGCCGTCCAAACACACACCGTATCTCCTCACCAGACTCCAGCGGCTCGAACGCCACCTCTTCAAATATAGAAACGTCAGATTCATGTCACAGAATGCTAATAGAACATAAAAGCCACGTTTTCTTTTTCAGAAATCGGCAACAGTAGACATCATCATCACACAGCGGTATTAGCCAAGTTACTAAAATAAATATGGTGATCTCAATGTTTTTAAAGTCTGACCGACTCAAAGAAATGTGAAGACGTACTTCACATTTAAACAGCATCTTATGCCATCTTCTTGGTTAGAAGGAAAAATGCAAAGAGGACCAAATCCGGACTTGCACACAAGCTGCTTTGCAATCATTTCCCAAAATATAATTTGTGTGGGAATATCAGTCTGTTAACACAGGCCAGAGACGGGACACAGTGAAAGACGGATGCGAAGAGAACAACGACGCGCCAGCAGAGCAAATACTGAAGCCTATCAGACACAGAATATAAGAATATAAAGAATATAAATATTGAAATGGGGCTGGGGGTTATGAATTTATCTATAAAGGGAACTGTCTTCAGAACAGTTTATAGCATTTAAATTCCTCTTACCTCCGTATACAGCAGTGTTTCTATATGTAGTGTTGCTTTGTGTACAGAGGTAACCAAGGAAACGCTATATTGCTGCTGTTCCATAAGCGCCACCTACTGTCAAGGCGATGATACACAGGGCAACTTTTTGCAAAATCTTGCCGAGTGATTGTTGCTTGTGGACTTTCCCATTGAAAATGGGCGATACATTTCTATCTGGATTATTTAGATCGGTCGTGGGCCCTGTGTCTCATCTGGTTGCCCGGTGACGGCAACATTAGCCCATCAACATTGCCCAAAAAACATCACCTTTAGAGAGTGAATTTGCGTTTTCATTCAGTCCGTCTGCTGTTTTTGTTCTGTGCAGGTGTCTTATGTGACATCATTTCACGAAGTAAAAGTCAGGTTAACACTTAATTTCTGACTGATGTTCATGTAAAAAAAAAGCTAAAAAAAATAATAAAATAAAAGTCAGACCATTCTATTTTTGCATTAAATCTTGAAATGATACAATCAAATTTAAATAAAAAAAATGCTGCATGTGTGAAGCATCTTTGTTTCCTCAAAGTGGTTTCCTCAAACAAAAAAATATCTGTAGCCATTTAAAGTTAAAGGCCAGTTTGGCCTGTTATAGAGCAAATAAACAACAAATAAATTTGCTTTAATTTTTTTTAAGAATATGCGACAACCGGTATGGGAATAGGAGAATTTGCTTGTAAACAAAAAATATATACTTTCACTGTATGAGGTAAAAAAAAAAAAAAAAACATGAATAGTCTAAAATACCCTATTTGAACAGGATTAGTTTTACAAGAGTAGATGGAGTAATGTAATTTACCACATGACGTCTGTAATATTAATGGCCAATTTGCACGGGATAAGAAACCTCTAAGTAACAGGGGTGCTCCGATCAGGATTTTTGGGGCCGATCACTGATCGCCGATTACTGGAAGCTGTATCACCCGATACCGATAACAGGGTCTATTTGAAGACTTCTTTTTATCATGTAGCATTACTTATTAAACTATATTTAACAACAGTGTACATTAAGTATTACATTTAAGAGAAGACAATGCATAATGAATTGACACCTGTGTATTTATTTGCAAGCAACATGTATTAACATAGCAGCTTGGTTATTGGGAGCAGCTTAGGGCTTGACATACAACTTTCCTGTAGAATATAAAATAAAATTAATAAAAGACAGAACATCTGAGTCTTTAAATTTAGCTTTAGACTACTTTAAACTAAAAACAGCAACAAAAAAGGCTATAGCCAAAATAATGTTTTGAGTCAGTCAGCCATCAGTTTTGTAATACACTTAAAGGACCACAGGTAGTGACAGCAACAAAAAACTAACAACTTTCATATCTGTATCTATAACTTTGCTTTTTTCTGGGATGCTTCGTCAGATTTTGTGGGCATTTAGAGAGGAAGAGAGAGGTAGAGAAACCTTTTGTGTGTGTGTGTGTGTGTGTGTGTGTGTGTGTGTGTGTGTGTGTGTGTGTGTGTGTGTGTGTGTGTGTGTGTGTGTGTGTGAAGAACCCTTGCAAAATTATTTTAAACAGATTAAGGAAGCCACCACTACCGGTCACATCTATGGTTGATTTTTTTAGATCCAGTGAAGTCTGTCCCACCATGTACCTAATATAAATAAATAAAACATCTTCAGTTAACTAGCAGATCATTCATTTAGTTCGCTATTAAATAAGAAATCTCGCGCTAAAATGTGTTTTTGAACTCAAGCTGCGCGCTCGTTGCCGCGGCGATCAGTGTCATGAATACAGTGCTCCTCGCGCAGGCTTCACTCGGACGCGCGCTTCAATCTATCGCCGTTGCGGACTCTATTCATTCCGGTGTAATCACAAAATAAAACAAACGTATCCTTGCTTGATATAACTGTAACCGCTGATGAACATATTCAGTTTTGATGAGAGAAAATATGTACGAGTGATTTGACGGACGCACGGGGATTTGGATACATTTTTGTCATTGGTTGTTGCGTTAAATCTTACCCAGATACAATAGTGCTATTTTCTGATTGGCTATTGTGTAGCTCGACGAACAACACCAGAGGAAACGCGCTTGATGCATGCCAGTTCCACAGTGAGAGCGGCGCGGCATATTAAATATATTACAAATAGTTTTTCAGCGTGAGAAATACAATGTGTGGCGGGAGAGCGTGACAAAAGACCGAAATGATTGACTGTCACGCTCAATGCTTGACACTTGACAGCCCTGTTGTAGAACTGCCAGACTGGTGAAGCCATTTTTACCAGGGCGTAAAAAAATTGTCTCGCGAGTTTTGCGTCATCTGATCGGCTTTTCTGGATCGGCCTTTATAGAGACCGCCGATCACACATCCCAAAGCAATTATCGGCCGATTATGATCGGCGACCGATCAATCGGAGCACCCTTACTAAGTAAGTAAAGCTAGCAGAAGTGGGAGGAGTAACTCGTCG